ATTTAATTTGATTATCTAATCAATGATGCCGGATGAATAACCATAGAATAACTATTTTAATAAATGATGTTTGCTATTTCTTGAGACTACTCTTTTACAACTCTTACTTGAATTCAAGGCCAAAGAGCTTTTTAGTTGCTATCATTTCAGATAAATATCTCTTCTACTTAGCTTTATTCTTTTCAATCTTAAAACCCTGGGAAACGTTCCCAAAGTACATTTTCAAAGGAAAATCTCCACCAAAAGCTCAAATTTGTGCTAATCTATTTAAGAAATATAATTCTTGGCATCTATAGAACAAGGGCCTCTTGTTTTGCTTTTCCAGTCAGATATAACTGTCCCCATGAACATGTCTTTATTTCTACCCTGAATTTCACTGACTTTATTCCCTGAGTACTGGGCACTGAGTTGTGTGTAAGATGATACACATACCAGCCTGCTCACGTCTGCACTGAGGGGCAAGATCTCTCACAGGCTCTGGCATTAACAGCTGCTGCTAAAGTGGTTTATTTATGTGAGTATTCATAGGCCTTTCTTGGCACATTAGCATTAGCATTCCTGTGCTCCAAGGAATCCTAGTGATAAGACAGTTTCACCGGCCTGCGATCTACTGCATTAGCAACTCCGTTCACTTCACCTGAGAGCAAAGCTCAGCTGTTGGAAGGAGGTTGTATAGTACCTGTCAGGTCCTAGGGCCTGTGTCTGTCCAGCCTTATCTTGGCCTCCCAGCTCCTCACTCATATCCCATTGCTGTCAGCAGTGCCCCTGGCCTCTTGATACATTAGGAACCGTCTAGAGACACTATTTAGAGATTGTGAGCCTTTGGTCACAATTCTTTAGTGTTTATATGAACTATTTGCTTTTTGCTTCATGTTTCTCTTCTCCTATCATTTAAGAAGTTTCCAGATGACCTATGGGGTGGGGGGGGGGGGGGAGAACAGAAAAATTGAGTGTGTTAAAGTTCTTTTGTTTTTTTTTATTTGTGTGTGTGTGTGTGTGTGTGTGTGTGTGTGTGTGTGTGTTAAATAATGATATTATACAGTTTTCAGGGAATTTTATACATTTCCCTTGGAACTACACTTTAAAAACTTTAACAGCTACCCACTCATTTTCTCAAAAACATCTAGCATTGTGGTAAAAAGAATATGAACAAATTGGCTAAGACATCCTGCTATTTCATTGTTACTGGCAAGTGTTAGTCCATGCCCAAGGCACAAAAACATTAGTTGCTGATAATACTGAATTCCATGGACCCTTCACTGTGCCTGTGCTCACAATTAGTTGGAAACACCTGAGTTTTACTTCCCACTGCCTCCAACTGTGGTTTCTCAACAAGGAGCAGGTAAAGTGCTTAGAGGCATAATCCTCTAATGCAGCGGTTCTCAACCTGTGGGTCGCGACCCCTTTGGGGGTCGAACGACCCTTTCACAGGGGTTGCCTTAGACCATCAGAAAACACATATATAATTACATATTGTTTTTGTGATTAATCACTATGCTTTATGTTCAATTTGTAACAATGAAAATACATCCTGCATATCAGATATTTACATTATGATTCATAACAGTAGCAAAATCACAGTTATGAAGTAGCAACGAAAATAATTTTATGGTTGGGGGTCACCACAACATGAGGAACTGTACTAAAGGGTCACAGCATTAGGAAGGTTGAGAACCACTGCTCTAATGGAAGACGTGTACCCCTCTAGTTGCAAGTTGTCCTTGGCTAAGGACTCAGAGCAGATAAAGAAGATTTGGGTCTGCAGTTCATTGTAGGAAAGCTCTGAGAAGAATTGTCTCATTATGTTCTACTCTCAAAATGAGGGCTTTGACCTGCCATCCCAGGGATAAAGATGTGTCACCTAAAAGTTAAATTAGCAAAAGTCTACACGGAATGGAGAAATTGGCTGTCTATGGGGGCAACCCAAGAAATTATGTATGTAAGACTGAGAGGTTTGGAAAACATCCAATGCTCTAATTCAGGTGATATGAATAGAACCTCAAGGACACAGGGATTGAGAAAATGGGCACACAAATTGGCCTTTCTAAACACTACATGTCTGAAGAGTAAGTCAACAACAAAAGAGGATGCTCAGCGTGGGGTCATTGTTTTGGCACATTTGTCCAGCTCTGCCCAGGGGGTAGAGATTGAAGCTCATGAACAGGAAAGCTCCAGTCACTAGAGATGGTGATTTGGCTGTAGTGCAGGACTGTTATTTTACTTAGGTTTCACATGGCCTAGATGAAATATGCCTCAGGATCTTTCTTTGCTCCCCTCTGATCTTGTGCCCATGAGTGAAAACTCTGGTTAGTAATCTGGTTCCTGATATCCTAATAATGTGAAAGGGTTACCCTTGGTGTGACCTGGGAGACACCCTGATGTGGATGAGTATATTGGCCTAACTGATTATGCACCAGCCTTTTTGAAATCCTTTGGTAAAAGTTAGCGTCAGTGGATCTGAGAATTCTGTGTGGTTGATCATGCACACACCCAGAATTCCAAAGCTAATGTGAGGGAAGTAGCCAGCCTCTCAGGGAGGCCTCATAGTTCATCATACTAGTAATGGTCTAGTCCAGTGGTCAGTAAACTGCGGTCCCTTGAGTGTGGCTCTTGCACAAAATACCACGTGGGGGCACGCAGGTACAGTGCAATTGAAACTTCGTGGCCACACTCAAGGGGCCAAAGAGCCGCATGTGGCTCAAGAACCGAATTTTGCCGACCATAGGCCTGGTCCAATCAGGCCCAATTTATCACTAGATAAAGGCAAAGCCTAGTATCAGAGAAGTAGGTTGCTGGCCATGGTCTTGATAGTTATAGAGTTTTGGGAGCTCTAAGACGTTAGGACAGAGACCCAGTAAATGAAACTGCTATATAGGCATGATTTGTCACCAAGGAACAGTGTCAGAGCATTCAGTATGGCTGACTTCATGGTGAAATGTCAGATTATGTTGTTGAATATCTATTGTCTCTGTTCAGAAGTGAGATTGACCCTTGAGTCAGAAAAATTGCTGAAACTACAAGAATAGATTAAGGGTTTAGCAGGTCTATTTTTGTTTCTAGGGACTGAGTGGAAAAAAAACTTAGGCACAAGAGACTTAACTGGCTCACTTTAAAAAATTTAGGGCTAGAACTGGCCTAAAGTAGTTTAATGGATGGGGCTCAAATGATGTCACCAGGAACTGGTTTTCCTTAACTTGTCTCTCAGATAGGACCATATTGCCTTGAATGTCAAACAAATTCTGAGGTCACAAGATGGTAGCAGCTACTCCATTGTGTATTCTCAATACCTTGAATCCTTCAGAAAATATAATCTGTTTCATAGAGCCTTTAATGGCTCCTTAATTATAATTGAATAGCTTGCTCATCCCTGAACCCATCATTTGGACCAGGAAAATGTAAATCTCTGACCAATGTCTGAGTCATTTGACCATCCTTGAAGTCAAGGGCAGAATGTGTGCATTAGAAGTACCTGAATGATGGCTGTAGAAGCTGGAATCTGCTAAGAAGTGTGTATCAACTCACCTGTCCAATCAACCATCTGTGAAAATGAATGGCACTGGGGTGTTGGGCTCACACTGGGCCATTGCTGTCCATGCGTGATGCCAGCAAGAGGGAAGATGCCACCCCCTCCTCCTTTCCTACCACATTTTGTACTCAGTGACAACTATAACATGTTTTTCATTAGTCATTCAATTTGACAAATGTTTATTGAATACCTACTATAAACCCAGAATTGTGGGAGGTATTAGAGGGGATAATTCTCTGAGGAAAGATATAGCACTTTTCACGTTAACAGTTCGAGAAAAGCAACCACTTTTTAAAAAATATATATATATATGTTATTAATTTTTTAGAGGGGAAGGGAGAGCGAGAGGGATAGAGAGTTAGAAACATCGATGAGAGAGAAACATCGATCAGCTGCCTCCTGCACACTCCCTACTGGAGATGTGCCCCCAACCAAGGTACATGCCCTTGACCAGAATCGAACCTGGGACCCTTCAGTCCGCAAGCTAACGCTTTATCCACTGAGCCAAACAAGTTAGGGCAACTTTTTATTTCTAATATAACATGAAGTCAGCTTCCCCAAAACATTGTGCACTGTCCAAGTTTTGCTTTATATTTACCCTAAGGGGTAGAATGGTCAGAATGGTTGATGGCAGTGAAGACATACCATTCACTTTAAAGAAAATAACTTGTATTTTTCAAATATTATTCCCAAATTAGGTAATTACATGCTGATAAAATTATTATGTGTAAGATACTGATGCTCTGTGACAAAGTAAATCAAGAAGATAATTATTTTAGGATCAAATTTTCTTTGTATTTTAGTCTTCTGTTCATTCATTTTTTTTCTTCTGAATTTCATTAACTGAAACTTCAGTTAAGATACAGTTGGAAAGCAATTTCTTCAGCATCAATCTGATGTTACTCTTCTCATCAATGACTCCTGATCACCCTCATGATCAATTTGAAACCCCTTTCATCATTGCACCCCTATTTACCTCTCCAGTCCCTTCTCTCACCTCCCAATTTTTCCACATGTACCACACTCCAGTCATACTGAACGATTTACAGTTACCCAAATGCACAACCTCTCTCCCCCCTGTGCCTCCACATGTTCCTTTCTTTCTGTTCACTCTTTTTCTTGCCACCGCCTGGCCATTTCTTATTCATCCACTAGATCTCAACTAGGACATCACCTGCTCCATGAAGTCTTTCCAGACACCACCTGCAAGACTGGGTTGGGTGCTCCTTCTTTGCTTGATTAGTACCCTGCACTTTGCCTATCCTGACTCTCATGAGTCTATGCTATGAATTGCCTGTTTGCCCTTAAGTCTCCCTATAAGGACAAAAGTTCCCAAATTCAATGAAAGCAGGGTGGAGGCCTTTGTTTTAATGCCTGCACTTTGAGAGCTTAGCTCAAGAAATATTTCTCGGATGAATGAATAAATACTGGTAATGAGCCTCTTGCTATATGTTGTTTCCTTACATTTCCTCAGAATTACAACCGGCCCCCTGTGATGGCACTAGCCATCCCCATTGCAGTGAAATTCCTCCACAGAAGCAACAAAGAACTGTGCAGGAACATGTCCAACTACTTGTCCCTGGCTGCAATCACCAAGGCGGATCTCCTGGCTGATCACACAGAAGTCATAGTGAAGAGCATACTCCAAGGTACGGTGTGAAGGCTGGGCTTGGGGACATGTGTTAGGAGTCATTTAAAAGTGTTTTCAGGGTGTGGAAAGTGAGACCTAGAATACTGAGAGGTACCTTAGAGTCTCTGCTTTACCACTAGTTGACTTGTGAACACGGGTAAGGTTCCTTGGGCTGGCTGCGTCTGTGTCTCTTCACTGGGCAGATGAATTACTTGGGCTCATTAGCTGCATTGTAAGCTTCCAACTCTACATCTCTCAGTTTAGAGAACTGTTTTCTATGCTTCTGCTCACCTTGTCCATCTACCGACTATGGTAAGCCTGTCTGTCTGTACTGCTCTCGGTGGCAGATGAAAAACCTCTTCTTCCTTTGGTTTCCAAAGGCAAGAAAGGTTACATCAATTACACCAGAAAATGTGTAAAGACTTCTTAAATGTGAACATTGTTGGGGGTTGATTTGTGTTCAATGCTATCATAAAAACTCAAATCAGGACACCTCTGTTAACTGTTTTACATTTGAATGAAAGTGATCAAGTTTAGGCCAATCAAAATATTTTCTTTGTCTTATGTTTTTTCCTTTGCTTTCAGATCTATCAGAAACCATGTTTGTTTGTCTTTAATTTGGGATAAGAGAAGAATATATGGCATTATTGGATATGCACCAAATTGTCCCCACTGCCCATTAATAAAGCTGTATGAGGTCCATGAGTATCTTGGCCTACACGTCCCTTCCTACATGTTCAAGTTGAATGTCAACCCCTGTAAAATGCTTCCAGAAAAAGTATTTCGTAGAGTCCCCAAGGGAGTCCTACGTGTGCTCTCTTTCTGCTGTGATGTCCAGCCAGTCCACGTGCCTCTGCTGCTGTCCTTTCCATGCTTCCTGACAGGGCCTGCTGTGGTGGGTTCCACCTCTACCACCCTGAGCCCAGCAAACTCCATGGCTGCTGCCATCAAGGTCCCAGGAACAGACTCCATTCCACACTGCCCTGCCTGTCTGTCCTTTTGCACTGTTCCTCTTGAAGGTCAGGAGGCACCAGTCCTCAGTCCACTAATTCCATGGGCAGGATCGGGGAGAACACCCGTCTTTCTCCTTGGTGTCACATTTTGATGGAGGGGCCCCAGAGCAAGGTTGCTTGGTTCTCAGTGCCAAACTGTGGGACCAAGTCAATAGACGAGTCAACAGACTGTTCTGTTTTGTCTTAAACTGTCTCTTCTCTGGGCTCCACTATTGATCCAAGAGTTGGGCTAGCAAAAAAGTAGTTCTCCGGTTCTCAAAATGCCTATCACCCCCCAAGGACTGAGGTTCTGTTGATTGTACCAAATATTCCTAAGAAGAGTTTTTAGGACCCCAACCCTCACCCCCACCCCCCACAAGACATTGACCAGCTACCCCAATGGTCTGCCAGATGTCCAGATATATCTGAACTCCATCCACGACAGTGTAAGTTTATCACCCTCCCTGTGCCCCTCTAAAGATTTTTCATTGATATTACTAGTCAGTATCATTCTCTTGGCCACAAGATTGAATGCTAATTTCACTTTATACGTATTAAATTCGCTAAAAGCCCAGAAAAGCAATTATGTTTTTTTCACCACCTTGGTTATATATTTGGAACAGATTTTATAGGAATTAAAAACACTTATAAACTGCACACATTTTAAGTCCATGATAGTTAGACTTGTATGTAACTGATATATGGGAAAAAAAAATTGAATTGTCTCTTTGTAACTGCCAAAAGCTTAGGTCATGTATTTGAGTGTTTTTTTCCTTTCTTGAAATGCACTTTCAATGACAAAAAAAAAAAAAATATTTTGAAATGCAAAATACTTTCTTAATTCACTGCAAGCATTTGAAATAAACAAATGATTTGGTTTATTTGATCTGGCACAACAAAAATCACCATAAAATAAATGATAATCTGACCTGAAAAGTTGGGACTACATATTTCAGGGTTTAGGTTTTTTAGGACAGATATGTCTGTAAACTCCACAGTCACTCACATGAGCACATCAAACTTTGAGCTTCAAAGCAGAAGTGATCTTGCTGTCTTTGAGTAGTAAGTTTCCTGCTCTGCAAGTTTTTGTTGTATATATACCCTGACAACAGCCTTAGGGACATCAGAAAGATTTCGTTTTTCTTTACTTATAGTTTTCTCCCCTATAGAACTTGCTTTTTGACTTATATTATCTGAATCCTCAATCTCCCATATTTCTACTTCTACAGAAAATGTTGAAGTTTACAGTTGTTTGATTTGACATTACAAGAGTAGAATTATAGAAGTATAGAATCTTAGTTTGGGACATTAATTATGATTTAGCACATTTACCCAGGCAACGCTTGAATGCCCACCAAGTGGTCATCATTTCAGTGAGAATGATAATAATTATAATAACCATAATTACATTGAGTAAAATTGATTTCATGCTCTCTTTAAGCCAAATACTATATTAAGCACTTTATACTGATTATATCATTTAATCCCCACAATAATTTCATCACAGGAGTCCTATTGCTATCCCATTTTACCAATTAGTAGTACTTTAAGTAACAGAGACCCCAGGTATAAATGCCTTAATAATGATGGTGACAATGGCAAGAATAATGAAGAAGAAGAGAGAGAAGAAGCAGGAGGAGGAGGAGGAATAGGAGGAGGAAGAGAGGAAAAATTAGAAGAAGGAACAGGAGGAGAAACTCCTCACTGGAACATCTGACTGAAAAGTGCATGAGTATATCAGACTTCCCATGTGGCTTGATTCAGGGCTCAGGGGTGGTCCCAAAAGTTATTACTCAGCTCTGTCGTTCCATTCTCATGCTCCACATTATGGGCCTCTGCAGCATCCGGCTCACATCCTCAGGAATACCGATTAAGGAAAAGAAACTCCATATCTAGTCTCACTGCCTCTGTTTGACCTGACAGGGGTCACATACCCATTTGCAGCCTTACGTAAGTGTTAGCCTTTATTGCTTTTCACTTTCTTCTTAATACATTCAGCCCACTGCTTTGGCATGCCAAGGAATTGGATAATGATTCTTTCATCTCAATGTATCTGTAGTTTTTCCAATGCTCTTGCCATCTGTAAATTTTATGAAAAGAACTACTCTACCTTCATTATAAAACATTAATTTTAAAACGTAGGCCAGATAGGGCCAGTCAAGCCTTGTGGTGTACCAGTAGTGACTGCTCCTTATACGTGGTTGATATTATTCTATTGATCATATTTTTTCAATTCTATTATACATGTTTGTTCCTGATTCCAAACCAAAAGCCTCCTTATGCTTATAAATCAGTCATGAGAGACTATCAAATGAGCTTATCTATTTATCCTTGAAGGCAAATATTTCAATAGTTCCAAGCTATTTTTGCTACTTCTCATTATTAATGATTATATATAAGTAATAGTGTTTACTTCTACATTAAATGTAAACACAAATTTATTATATTCATTTTGTTTAGACTTTAATTGTTCAGGAATAAGACAAGAAGGCCACTAAATCTACTTCCATTTACTATGGCACTTTATGATCCTAATTATGAGAATCAGAAAGAAAGTGACACAATTATTATTTCTAAAAAATATGACCACCTATAGCAGAAAAATCTAAAAACTCTCTTGTCAATTCTTGGGCAGAATAAGAGAAATTTAAATGAAGTTGCTGAAAAAGAGATAAACTTATAGAAACCAGTTGTTTTCCTGTACACCAGTAATAACAAAGTTAAAATATAATATTAAAAATATTAAAGTAACAAAATAAAAGATACCTAGAGAAAAAGATATGTGATTTTTTAAAATAAAATAATAAAACTTTATTGAAAGTAATTAAATAAAAATAACCAAATAGAGCAATAAACCATGTTCATGGATGGGACAACTTGATGTAGCAAACATCAATTTTCTCTATATTAATCCATAAATGCAACGAAATAAAATCCCCTCAAAGATTTCCATGAAAAATGACAAGCTTATTTTAAAATCACAAGTAAGATACACTGGAACAGGTAGCCAAAACAATTTTGCAGGAGAAAATGGGGAAGTTTGGGGAGGAGAGGGAGCCAGTAACTTCCAGATATCAAGATATTGTAAAGTCATAATACAGACAGTCCCTGACTCTACCAGTGAAAGTGGGACACGTTTGGTAGAAACCAAACATTGAACTTTGAACTTCAATCTTTTCCTGGGCTAACCGTATGCAGTACAATACTCTCCTGATGCTGGGCAGTGACTGTGGACCACAGCTTCAAGTCAGCCATGAGAACATGAGGGAAAACAACTGATCCTCTACAGGATATTATGTTGCCAGGGTTATTTTGGATCTTGTGCTTTGTGTTTTCACATCCCATCATGTCTACAAAATTCCCATTTGTCTCCTGCTTCTAGTGAGAAGAGGAAGGCAATTACTCTTGAGATGAAATTCAACATACTTGCCCTACTGTAGGCTGGCTAAAGGAAGTGTTCTGATCACACTTAAGGAAGGCTAGGCTAAGCTATGGCGTTCAGTAGGTTAGGTGTATTAAATGCATTTTTGCCTTATGATATTTTCAATTTATGGTGAGTTTATCATGACATAAACCCTTCATAAGTCAAAAAGAATCTGTAATTAAAATGGTGTAGCGCTGGTGCAAGGACAGGCAAGTAGCCCAAGGAATAGAATAAAGAGGCAAGATAGGCATCTATGCATATATGGAAATTTCAGATGGCAGTGGAATCTTTATAATGGACTAGAGGCCCAGTGTACGGGGGTGAGTCCCTCAGCCCAACCTGCACCCTCTCCAATCTGGGGGCCCTCTCTAATCCAGGAGACCTGACGGCTTAGGCCCACTCCCCATGGTTCCTGTTTAAGTCATATCAGAGGTAATTTTTTAAAATATATTTTATTGATTTTTTTGCAGAGAGGAAGGGAGAGGGAGAGGGATAGTGAGTTAGAAACATCGATGAGAGAGAAACATTGATTCAGCTGCCTCTTGCATACCCCCTACTGGGGATGTGCCCGCTACCCAGGTACATGCCCTTGACTGGAATTGA